CAGGCATGCGCTACCACGCCCGGCTGATTTTTTGATTTACTGTAGAGATGAGGTCTCGCTGCCCAGGTGGGTCTCGAACCCGCGGGTTCAGGCAATCCACTCACCTCAGCCTCCCAAAGGCGCGGGATTACAGGCTGAGCCACCGAGCCCGGTTCACCCAGTGACTCTTTAAAAGCTGAAGTTTCCATAGCACTTAAATTATAGAGATTCACATCTATACAGCATATGTTATATTCACAGATTTTCATTACTTGAATGTGATTATCAATAAGAAAATGTGGAATGTATCTGTAAAATATAGATTGCACAGCTTACTTTCAAGACATCAGTTGGATTAGCAATGGCTGAGGATATGACTCCAGAGAGAATTCCACATATGACATTTACTGGTAAGGTTTCATCTGTAAACAATGACAAATTATTTGACTTCACATATTAGAGTTCTTCCAGTAAATAACTCAAATACAAGAGTAACTCACACATTATGTTGTTAATCTTAAGACAAAGAAACACATGTTTGATGAATCAAGTAATTTTAGGATTAAGAATTTTGTTGGCTAAGAGATTTTGCTTAGCAAAATTTCTTGATATTTAAAAAGGAACGTGACTCACTATGCAAAGTGAGTATCCATCTACCAACTCACGTTTGTGTATAAATTCAGACCAGCATAATTAAGATGAGGTATGTCTGTTAGGTGAATAAAAAACAACACATTCCTATGAGATAACATGGAGATGGTGATTTAGTTGGCATAGAAAGTTTTTAAAGCACATCGTGTATATTTAGTTGGAAACACACTGAAGTATTTCCAAAGCATCTGGGCTCTTGTTCATCACTCTCACCTAACAGTGATGAGTGTTTGTCCCATTGTAAAAGAGACAGTTCTCTGGATTAAAATAAAGTCACAGAACAAACCTGCCACAGAGTACTAGAACTCAGAGTTCTTAATACTAAGAAACATTGTCCACGCTTTCCTGAAAAACTGGTGCTAATTCACATAATTTTCAAACATTTTAAGTTGGCCAGGCATGGTGGCTCATGCTTGCAATCCCAGCATTTTGGGAGGCCGAGGCAGGAGGACTGCTTGAGCCCAGGATTTCAAGACCAGCCTGAACAACATAGTGAGACATCATCTCTACCAAAAAAAAAAAATTAGCTGGGTGTGGCAGCACACACCTGTAAGTCCCAGCCACTCAGTAGGCTGAGGTGGAAGGATTGCCTGATCCCAGGAGGTAGAGGCTACAGTGAGTCATGATCATGCCACTGCACTCCAGCCTGGGCAACAGAGTGAGACGCCAACTCAAAAAAGAAAAGAAAATTTTACGTTGGACAGAATGGTAACAGCATATCCTCTAATCTAGGCATTTTGGAAATGAGGATACCTAATTAAAATGCTGGCAGACAGAGATGATTCTTTTAAATTGTTATCCCTCTTAATTCAGCTGATATCTGACTTGCTTTAAGCACAATTCATTTAGACTTCACACCTAGAGTTCTCCTTAGCAGCAGGCAGTAAAGTCCCAAATAAGCTGAGGAAAACCTGCTCCAGAATCACTTGGATAAAAAGACCAACAGCCCACCTCCTGTCCACAGTGGAAAAGAGATTCCCCACTCACCTTCTGGGCGTTCAACGAACAATCGCTTCAAACTCTGGTAAGTGCCTATCTTGATGGTGCCATAGGACGCCTGCCGTAACATTGCAGGAGCAATCCTGTTAATCAGATGTGCAAAGGGACAAAAGCAATCAGTAAATCACTTAACATCTTCTAGAAGGCCCCCACACAGAGTGCCTTCCATAATCAAGCTCTAAAATTATTTCTTAAAATTCAAAATCCAACAAAAATACAGGGGGGTCCAGTTAAGCTTGTGCAAATTTTTAGTGCACTAGGTGAAAGCTCAGCCTTCATATTTACCTTCAGTGAAAATATAAGTGAACATGGAGTTCCATTTATCCAATCTTATTAAAATGCAAGGGCTTTCCCGTTTCAGTACAAAGTGCCTGGTGAAAGTTGGCCTCTAGGGTACCATAAGCCTGTCATCCTTTTACTGTTTCCTGGAGATCACTTCTAACTCCTTGGAGGCCACATTCCAGTTATTTCCTCTCCCTATAAGTTTTCCCACTGCAATACTGAAACAAGTTCAAGACAGAACCAGGAAAAACAAGTCTGCCATTGGACCCTCCACCCACAAGCGCCCTGTGGCAACCACACTCTCCAGCTCTCCCTGCATTTCCCACTTCTGCCTCAAATCCTGGTTCCTGCTACTCTTCCCCTCAAAATTCCTCTCATCTTTGTAGAACCTCTTGGCAGTGTGTGCTACTGTCCGCACTTTGTCCTGCCTGTAGCTGTCTCTTCCCTGGTCTGCTGTAGCAACATCCTCTCACTTTTTTTCTTGACAGCATCCTACCTGTGTCTGCTGAGATCCCCAGAATTCTAACCTGTGCTTCTTCTCTCACTGCACATACTCCCTGGGTAAGCCCATCTGCTCTCAAAGCTACTAGCATCTAAAGACTGATGACTTCCAAATGCGTATTTCCAACACGGATCCAAAGACACATTTCCAACTGCTTCCAAGATCCTCAACTTAGATGTCCTACATATACCTCCAGTGTCTCACACTGAACTATTTGTCCTTCTTCTCCAAACAATCAGCTCTCCTCTTCTGTTTTCTAGACCAGGGAATGGAACCTCCAGCTACACACTGGCCAAAACCAGAAATCCAGATATTAGCTTTGCCTCCCCCCCAACCCCTGATATATGGGGACCTCATAGTCACACAGTACTATCAATTCCATACCCTAAATAGTTTTCTAGCCTGTCTTCTTTCTCTCCATTCCCAAGACCAATTCAGATCCTTATCTCTGCTTCCTACATCACAACCCTGCTTCTAGTGTTCCCCAGCTCTTTTTTTTTTTTTTTTTTAATCAGAATCTTACTCTGTCACCTGAACCGGAGTGCAGTGGGGCACAATCACAGCTGCCACAGCCTTGACCTGCTGAGCTCAGGCAATCCTTCCACCTCAGCCTTCCAAGTAGCTGGGACTACGAGTGCGCCACCACGCCTGGCTAATTTTTTAAAATTTATTGTAGAAATGAGGACTCACCATGTTGCCCAGGCTGGTCTCAAACTCCTGGGCTCAGGTAATCCTCCCACTTCAGTCTGCCAAGGTACTGGGATTATAGGCGTGAGTCGCCGTGCCCTGTCGTGTTCCCTAGCTCTAATTTTTTCATTCCACAGCAAACAGGTGACTTTTACAGGGAAACCTGGTCATGCCAGTCCTCCTACTTACAGCCCTTCAGTGGCTCCTAACTGCCCTAGACACGGCAAACTCAAATGCTGACAGGCACCAGCCAGGCAGATGCCGTGATGAGTGAAGCAGGCTGGGTCTAAGTGCACCTATATGCACTATATGAGTGTCAGGTTTAGTCAACTGGAGAAAGTATCCTCAACTCTAGCTACTACTGTCATGAGTGACTAAATGTGGACCTGATGTCAATTTTTCTTGAAAAGATGGAATCCCAGATTTGGATGTGCAATATCTCATTTTTAAAATACTGGCTCAGCCGGGCACGGTGGCTCATGTCTGTAATCACAGCACTTTGGGAGGCAGAGGTGAGAGGATGGCGATAGGATTTGGGAGGCAGAGGCAAGAGGATTGCCCAGGGATTTGAGACCAGCCTGGGCAACATGGCATGACCTTGTCTCTACAATAAATAAAAAAATTAGCTGAGTGTAGCGGAGCATACCTGAAGTTCTAGCTACTCGGAAGGCTGAGGTGGAAGGACTGCCTGAGTCCAACAGGTCAAGGCTGTAGTAGCCATGAGCGTGCCACTGCACTCCCACCTGGGTGACAGAGTGAGACTCTGACTAAAAAAAAAAAAAATTAATTAATAAAATATTGGCTCAGTTGGTCGGATGTGGTGACTCACTCTTATAAGCCCAGCACTTTGAGAGGCTGAGGTGGGAGGATCGCTTGAGGCCACAAGTTCAAGACTAGCCTGGGTAACATAGTGAGACCCCACCTTTATTTTTAAAAAACAGAAACAGAAAAAGAAAAAAATAGACAAAGTAAAATAGATGCTCAATTGGAAAAAAAATCTTCGAGGATTGGTGGGTCTTTGGGGGGGGCTATGGCCACCCAATGAGACCTGTGGGATACCACATAAAATCAGAACACTTAGCATGGCGTGAAGCTGTCCTTGGGCTGCCCCTTATTATGACTCCAATTCCATGTCTCGCCTCACACCACCTCCCCCACAACATCCATGCTGAATTTCCTGTGGTTTCTACAAGGGTCCATGCTCCCCTGCATATACCACTGGCTCTGCATGAAGTAGCTCTTTTCTAACTTCTTCTGGCTAGCTCCTCTTGATCCTTCAAGACCTAAGTCGGTGCCTCCCGGACCACGCAGTTTTCCTGAAACCCCCCACCTGCTCTTTCTCTATCAAACTCTAGTACTTACCAGAATTCACTGTGATCCCATTTACACACGTGCAGACTCACTACCATAGCTCCTTAAGGACAGTACAGGCCAGGCATGATGGCTCATGCCTATAACCCCAACATTTTGGGAGGCTGAGGTGGGAGGACTGCTTGAGCCTGGAAGTTCGAGATCAACCTGGGCAACATAGCAAGACCTCGTTTCACAAAAAAAATAAATAAATAATTAGCCAGGTGTGGTAGCGCACGTCTATAGTCCCAGCTACTCAGTAGGCTAAGACAGATCACCTGAGCCCAAGAAGTCAAGGCTGTGGTGAGCCATGCACGATCTTGCCACTGCACTGAAGCCTGGGAGACAGAGTGAGACACCCGACTGAAAAAAAAAAAAAAATACACACACACACCCAACTTTTATTTTTTCACATATATATACCCAACTTTTACTTTTTCCTTGTGCCATCATCATCCAGTCCACCTAATAGAAAGGATCAGTGACAGAAATGCTCAAAGGCCTACTCACCCGGAGTACAGCGCCCTCAGCCCTTCTTCTCGGCCTATCCTCACTAGCGCATGCAACATTCCTCGATACCTAATTTCCTTAAAGTTGGTATCATTCATCTGGCCTTGGATCTGGAGCCGTGTCTTGGTCAAATCAATCGGAAATGTACCTTAAAATTTTAAAGAAATATTTCACTTCACAAAAGGAAATTCCATGAAATAAAGGCTACGTACTGATATACTACAGAGGAAACAGACTATGATGCAGACTAAGAAACTGATTTAAGACACTGCAGACACTTTGTGATCTCTTTTCTATTTAAGAAAAATTGAGGAACCAAAAGAGTAACAAAACCCAAAAGAATGCACAGATATACCTTTCTTTTCTTTACATTTTAATTTATATCTTACCTTATTCTACATGATATTCTGCATGAGCCAGGCTCGGTGGCTAGCCTGTAATCCCACGCTTTGGGAGGCTGAGGTGAGTGGATTGCCTGAGCCCGTGGGTTCCAGACCCGCCTGGGCAACTTGGCTAGACCTCATCTCTACAATGAATCAAAAAGTAGCCGGGTGTGGTAGCACACGCCTGTAGTTCCAGGTACTTGGAAGGCTGAAGCGGAAGGATCGCCGGAGCCCAGCAGGTCGAGGCTGCGGTGGTCGGGAGCGGCCACTGCACTCCAGTCTGGGTGACAAAGTGAGACTCCAGCTCAAAAAATATATATATATTCTGCATGGCTGTAGAAAGTAGACCCATGGAATGATTTACACAAGCAGGTAATTCATTTACAAACATAGGTTATTCTGTTCATATGTGAAGCCTAGAATTGGGATCCATGTGAACGAAAAGAGGTAAAAAAAAGTTCATTTTCTAAAAACGTTTCCCACTTGGGAAGGAGTATTTTATAGCCTAAAGTTAAATAGAAGAGCACAGGTAAGTATGTTTCACATAGCACCTAACAGAAAGTCCATCCAAATATATCAAACCTGCCTCCACACGGGAACCTTGGTTCATTGTGACAACAGGAAAGCCCACCAGCAGAGAACTTAACAGGGAGGGGTGTTACCACCGTTTACCCCTCATCCCCGGCCTCACCAGCTCCTCAGGGCCAGCACCTGTCCTTAGACAGCAGAAACTGAGCCTCGGAAGCAATGAAGTGTTCAGCCTGGCACAGGATGCTCAGCAGGCTAGCTGTTCAATCATTATTTGTTGAATGAAGGATTCCAGAGAATAAACAGGCACAGAAACCAACAGGATCTGATGTGGAACACAATTGCTGAAGAAGTCACAGATCGGATCGAGATATATGCATCCCTGGAAAGTGACTGAATGATTGCAGGCCATCCTCTTGGCTCAGGGAAAACCCTTGAGCATCTCAAACCTCTGTACGGCCAAATGCGTTAACAGTGGCAAAGTGGGGAAACGACATCCAAAACAGGGACGGATGTAGTCCAAAAGTGATTTACAAAATTTGTTTTGCTAATAGGCTCAGCTTTCTCCCCACTAAACTTTGAACCCTAAACGGCTCATAAGTAGCCAAAACAATCATTTTGTCTTAAAAACATTACCAAAAGAAGGCATTTTTGAATTGTGAGATTAATGTATCATAATCTCACATGCCACACTTGAACTACATCCACGTCAAACACCAGATCGGGGCTGTGAGCTTCAGCACCATCCCTGCGGCAGGCTGTGCCAGCTGGCACCTGGGCTCCTTACCACATTCGGCTGTGATGGAGGCCAGCCCTCCATACACGAACGGCTTCCAGTTGAGGGCCGACATTCTCACGCCACCTCTTCTCCTTTGGCTTAGAGAAGCATCACCTCCAACACGGTTTCTCCTGGGCACAAAAGTCAGACGTTTCAAAGCTGCAACCTCTTACACAGGCAGTTTCTTCTCTCAACTCTCCCCCCTGGGTTGTACTTAGAGTGCTATCAAGTGCCGTCACTGAAAGCCCCAGCCACAATTCCCAAGTGGAGTCTCACCTTAATAAGCCAAAAGGAGCTGGGTGTGGTGGCGTACACCTGCAATCCCAACACCATGGGAGACTGAAGCAGGAGGATCACTTGAGACCAGGAGTTTTGAGACCAGCCTGGGCAACATAATAAGACCTCATCTCTTGAGAAAAATAAAATAAAATAATAAGAATAAGAATAAAAAGCAAAGGACCCTTATCTTCTGGACCTCAGATCAGCAATTTCTCATCTCACTCAAGTGGTATTAGTTTTCACTCTGGCCTCCAGAAGTAATACCTAGATGGGTGTGCATGTATTCAGTGTAGTGCAGTGAAGGCTGTTTGCTGGGTAGTCAATTTCATTTTAAATGTCTCTGCAATAAATATTTACTGTTTGTTTGACACTGTCTCAGTGAGTCCCTATAAAGAGGCGTCACATCCCTCAGGTGCATTGAAACAGAAAAATGTTGCAAACCTGTGTCATGAGGTAAAATGACACTTACTTAAAATTACCACAAGCCACTACCAGTCTACCTCTGCAAATGTCAGCTTGCTTCTCTCAGCATATTATGTTACTAGCTGGGAGGCAGCTTGCAATGAAGGGAAGAGACTATGGGGTCAGAGTCACCCATGTCCTTCCTAAGCAAGTACCTGGTAACCTCCAAGTCTTGTTTTTTTCCTTCAGCATCATGGCAACCAACACAACCAATCAGGGCTACAGCCCATACTTTTCTTTACTGAGCTAAATAGACCTAGCTGTAGGTCTTCCGTGGGAATTAAATAGCACGTGTGTTAAAGACACTCAGGACTGTTGCTTTCCATTCTCCTTTCTTTTAATAGGAACTTGCTCATGATGGCATACACTCATTCATGTGCCACAGCCCAGTTCTTCCCATTCATAAGTTCTGTTGTTGTTTTGTTTGTTTGTTTTAACAAAGACAGGGTCTTCCTATGTTGCCTAGGCTGGTTTTGAACGTCTGGCCTCAAGCGATCCTCACACCTCGGCCTCCCAAAGTGCTGGGATTACAGACGTGAGCCACTGGGCCCAGCCATGTTCTGTGGTTGTGTGTGACTTGAGTTGGTACATTTGGCATCATACCCACTAACAGGAAACACATGCAAATTAAAACATTTGTGCATGTATAGTGTATATATACTATCAATGATAACTATTGTTGGTTTAAAATAAAATGTCAGCTGGGCTCAGCGGCTCACACCTCTAATCCCAGCACTTAAGAGAGGCAGAAGTGAAAGGATTGCCTGAGTCCAAGGGTTCCAGGCCAGCCTGGACAGCATGGCGAGACCTTGTCTCTACAATAAATCAAAAAATTAGCCAGGTGTGATGGCGCAGTTCCAGCTACTTGGAAGGCTGAGGCAGAAGGATCACCTGAGCCCAGCAGGTTGAGGTTGCGGTGGCCATCAGTGTGCCACTGCACTCCAGCTTGGGTGACAGAGTGAGACTCCAAATCAGAAATAAACAAACAAACAAATAGATAAACAAATAGTCTAACTTATCAGAGTCATCACTGGCAAGCAATGCACCCTGTTTTTACTTTGCCTGTATTTAGGAATTTCCCAAGTCTAGTTTCCCAGAAGAGGTCTACCACATCACTAGCATGAAGTCACCACTGCCCAGAATGTCAGTTATCAAGATCAAGGAGCTTCTTAGGCTAAGTGAAAATACAAGGACCCCCAAAGAGGACCCTGAATAAATCTATAAATAGTTATTCCTCGGTTATGGATAGTAACCAAATTTAGAGCAGTTACAAATGAGCAACATACAAGCCTTCCTAAGAATGACATGAGAGTCATCATGTTTTTATGTATTTTAGTACCAAAGAGCAAACCCTTTCCCAAAACACTCATCTCCCTATTATCCTTGAAAGCATTTAATAATATCTGTACTTTGCTAATTCTTAGCCTTACTAAATTTGTAATTCATATAATAATTGACATTCTAAGTTAGAAACTGTAAGAACACTAATAGTAAATTCAATAATTCAGGCTGGGCGTGATGGTTCACACCTGTAATCCCAGCATTTTGGGAGGCTGAGGTAGGAGGGTTGCTTGAATCCAGGAGTTTGAGACCAGCCTGGGCAAAAGAGCAAGAACCTGTCCATACAAAAAATTTAAAAAATTAGCCAGGCATGATTACATGTGCCTACAGACCCAGCTACTTGTGAGGTTGAAGTGAAAGGATCACTGAGCCCAGGTGGTTGAGGCTGCAGTGAGCCATGATCATACCACTGCACCCCAGCCTGGGCAACAAGATGAGATCTCAATTCAAATAATAATAATAATAATAATAATAATAATAATAATAATAAATCCAATAACGTATTTGCTGTCCAGTACTAACTTCCTCAACTCATTTTTAGACTTTGCTGATTACAACTTAAAAAGCAAAACAAATCTGGGCATGGTGGTGGGCGTCTATAGTCCTAGCTACTACTTGGAAGGTTGAGGCAGCAGGATTGCTTGAGCCCAGGAGTTCAAGGTTAGCCTGGGTAACAGAGTGAGACCCCATCTTTTTAAAAAAGGCAAAATGATAACTATATAACAGGTGCATGTGAAAGGGCTGTAACTAACAAAATGTTCTATATAAATAATTAAGTGATCCCCTCAACAAGTCCGGGATAGGTGAACAAATTCCTACAGTCTCACCAGATGGCTTGCCTAAAACCACACAGCTGACTGGAGCATTACAGCGTCTCCTACCCGGCGTGTTCTGACCCCAAGTTCAGTGTTCTCTCTGCTACAACCTAAGACTAAGTACGTCATAAAGGAGAGTATTTATCTTTTTTTAATTTTATTTTATTTTTAGAGTCTCACTCTGTCGCCCAGGTTGCAGTGCAGTGGCTTACCACAGCCCCAACCTGCTAGGGTCAGGTGATCACTCTGCCTCAGCCTTCCAAAGTAGCTGGAACTACAGGCACATGCCACCATGCCCGGCTAATTTTTTGACTGATAGTAGAGACAAAAATCTTGCCATGCTGCCTAGGCTGGTCTCGAACCCCTGAGTTCAGGCAATCCTTCACAACTACCAAAGTGTTGCAATTACAGGCGTGAGCCATGGCTGCCCTGCCTAAAGGAGAGTATTTTAAAAATAAAAAAATCTACAAGGAGGTTGTGATGATTTAAGATATTCTACTAATTTTAATTAAGGAGAAAATATTACTGAGCAGAATCGAAAAGGTACTGCTGATAGAATGCATCTTATAAATAAGAAAAATGTGCTTAATTTAAGAGAAAAATCTTAAGAGAAAATATAGGCCAGAAACAATGGCTCATAAGTATAATCCCACCACTTTGGGAGGCTAAGGTGGAAGGATGGCTTGAGTCCAGGAGTAACATAGTGACCAGCCTGGGCAACATAGTAAGATCTCGTCTCTATAAAAATACAAGAAAAAAGAAAATCTAACATTCAGAAAGTAGTCAATCTAAACAGCAATCATTTATTTTTCCAACAAAGAATATATAGCCAGGTGTGGGGCTCATGCCTGTAATCCCAGCACTTTGGGAGGTGGAGGTAAGAAGATAGCCTGAACCCAGGGGTTCAAGACCAGCCTGAGCAATTTGGCGAGATCTTGTCTCTACAATAAATCAAAAAATTAGCCAGGCATGGTGGCACACGCCTATAGTTCCAGTTACTTGGAAGGCTGAGGCAGAAGGATTCCCTGAGCCCAGCAGGTTGAGGCTGCAATGGCTGTGAGCGTGCCACTGCACTCCAGCCTGGGTGAAAGAGTGAGACTCCTACTCAAAAAACAAAAAAAATTACACACACACACACAGAGACACACAATGTTCATATAGTGGTGGTGGAGAGTTTATTCAGGTGAAATTCACATAACATAAAAGAAGCCATATTAAAGTGAACAATTCAGGCCCATGTGCAGTGGTTCATGCCTATAATCCCAGCACTTTAGATGCCAGGAGTTCGAAGCCAGCCTGGACAACATAGCAAGATCTCATCTCTATGAAAAACTTTTTAAAACTAGCTGGGCATGCCTATAATCCCAGCTACTCAGGAGGCCGTGGGGAGAGGATCGCTTGAGCCCAGGAGTTCAGGCTGCAGTGAGCTCTGACCATGCCACTGCATTCCAGATAGCAGACCAAAACTGTCTCTAAAAATAAAATAATAAGCCGGGCTCGGTGGCTCAGCCTGTAATCCCGCGCCTTGGGAGGCTGAGGTGAGTGGATTGCCTGAGCCCACGGGTTCGAGACCCGCCTGGGCAACTTGGCGAGACCTCATCTCTACAATAAGTCAAAAATTAGCCAGGTGTGGTAGCGCGTGGCTGTAGTTCCAGCTACTTGGAAGGCTGAGGCGGAAGGATCACCGGAACCCAGCAGGTCGAGGCTGCGGTGGCTGGGAGCGGCCACTGCACTCCAGTATAGGTGACAGAGTGAGATCCAACTCAAAAAAAATTTTTTTTAATAAAAATAAATAAATAAATAAAATAATAAGTGAACGATTCAGTGGCACTTAGTACCTTCACAATGTAGTACAACCACCATTCTATCTAGTTCCAAAACATTTTCATCACCTCAGAAGGAAACCACTTAGCAGCTGCTCCCATGCCCCACTGCCCCCAACCCCTATGATGCTTCTTAGTTTGTGGGGTGTGATACCACACATACATCAAGCACCTGTGTGGAACATAGGGTTCCTTATTGGTAGCTCTTAAAAGTACAGACACCGAGGCCCCGCCTACTGAATGAGAGCTCAAGGACACAGCCCATCTGCATTGCTATTGAAAATCAGCGAGTTAAGTAAATGATGGCCAGTTCGTGCCATGGGACACTGCGATCACTTAAATTCCAGTTTAAATAGTGAATTCTCAATTATGATATTACAGTGGATTCTTCTTGTTATTTATCTTGTTT